TTATATGACCAATAATTGTACGATTTTTTTAGGAAATTGATTCTGGTTACAAGACAACAGTCAAACCTCAAAAGGCAAAAAGTTCATCAAAAATATTTTGCTCATAGTTGAGCTAAAACAAAACTACTAAGATGATGACAACAAAATCACCCTACTTTAAAGACAATTGGTGCAAAATTTATGAAAATGAGAAATCGTGGTCGTTTCAATGGTGGGAGGAGTTTCACTCGTCATTTGTCGCATTTGATCATTTTTAATCATCAAACCTGTAGACTTTATTAATCATAACTTGTTACGTCATCTTACTGCATTTAACTAAGTAAACACATGGGGCTGTCTAACCACATAATACTCTCATTCCATCTAGATAAAATTGCATGTAAATTATATGTAAATTTTATAATGAATCGACAAAATATAGTAGTTGATAAAGCGTTAGCCCCCATCACCAGTTCGAATTCTCTGTGCGTAAATTTTTAGCCCCCCTCATTCGAATTTCTGGCTCCACTCTACGGATTCTATCTCATTTCCATAGAATCATGATATGAGTAGCTTCATTTGCATCCTTTGATCCCATCCTATATTGTGCCACATTCCATTCTAGAGCTCTTGCAACATATGTTGTATATTCCGGCAAAGAACAACCAACTCTATATGTACCGTGTTTGCCACATCTAGCTTTTGTTTAAGCATCAAAAAATTTGTTTTTAATGCAGGTTTGGCCACTTGGAATTGACGATCTAATTGCAAAACTCATCTTCCAAGGCCTCGCCAAACTCTCCATCATAAGATCCTTGAACCCTTTTCGCTGCCGCATACAAGAACTTCTCTCGATTACTATTATACTATTTAGTCAGGATGAATTAGTGGCTGTGCAGCATGCTCCGGAGGAAAATTTTAATTTTTATTTCAAGTAGCTTATTGAATGTCTACAAGATTAGAGGAAGTGATTCTCTTTGCTCGCAGAATGGCTAATTAAGCAACTCATCTTGTGACGAAGTGTGAAATAGAATGAGACATTCCAGTGATATGGGTCGATAGTCCTTCTATGACATTGCTTGATCAGCTATGACAGGATGGTGTAACAGTGGCAACTAATTAATAAAACTAGCTTATCACCCGGCCCCTTGGCCGGACGTAGTCTCGGAAATTGACTCTTTGATTCTAATTGATATTACCCGTTAACATGTATGCGGCGATGGCCGGAGGTAGGTTAACAACACCATATATAATAATATGATGGAAAGTCATTATCCCATCGCATTACAAAATAATGGACAATCCAAACCAAGTCATTAGCCTTAAATATAGCCACTATTGCCATGCACCATGATGCCCCTAGAGTGAACATGAAAAACCAAATGAATTCTTACCTAGCTCCAATTATCGATGGTAAAAATGGAAGCCACCAAGAGATTTCATAAGAAAAACCCAATCTAGATTGCCCTTAGACTAAAAAACCACAGTGACAACAAAGGCGATGAATCCCTGTATGAGAAAACAAAAACCAGCAATGTCCAAATCATGTCGATGGAATGCATCGACCAGTTTTTTCTGATAAATAGTTTTGTTAATTAAAATGACAGAAAAGAAAAAGAAATACAAAGCATGCAATATGCTGTAGAAATCTCATATATAAACAAAAGAAACAGGCAAGCAATATATGCATGGAAGCACCAATACATAATAATTTTTGTCAATATCTCTACCATTGTGAAATCCTACCAAATCACTCCTAACCACTCTGCTACACTAAACACACAAATGACTTACAACTCTGTACTTTCTATCTTCAATCTGTATAAGTCAATCGTCATGAAACCTACCCATTATCACAATTCTTATCTTTATCGACAACAAACACACTAATTTGTTCACTCTTACTCATTCTTCGTGGAGGCTACATGGCATTCTGCATCAGTGCACATTAATTCAAACGATCATTCCTTGCTACAATTTGTGGCTTTGGGTAATATCACTTCATTCATAATACAAATTTACATGAAATGAAAGGAATGATCATTATAATAGCCTTGTAAAATTCAGAGTACCAATGGTGATTCCTCTCTTCTCCTCGTTGGCTTCGTCAATAAAGTGAGATTCATGACTATCTCTACCAACGCATTCTATATGGTCATAGTATGGCCTTTTGTATAATCCGTTTCTGCCTTATCCATTTTCGCATCGCAACTCCAAGAGCTAACTTGCTGGGGCACTCCTCTAGGTAAAAAACCTGTATCAACATCAGGCATGAAAACAAATATTGATTTGGTTGAGATACTATCAGGATCTTGTGATACTCTGAAGAAGGCTAAACCGTTTCTTAGGCATTGTCAACCTCCAATCAATTTGACGTGGATTATTGCTCTCTTACCATCTAAATTAAAGAGGATGCTCAAGTTAGTCTCTTTTATAGCTTAACTTGACAATTTCTTAGAAGAGATACAATCACGATTCACAATTCAAGAATAACCACCTCAGATAATACAATCTTATGGAAACAACACTAATGAAGCACCCAAATTACAATTCTGTACATGTTTCCTATGAGGGTGTGCATGTGCAGATTAAGAAAAATATAAGGATTAAGGAGGAAGCTTATTTTGCACGCGGTTTTGATGAGCAAAAAATCCCGTCAATAAATTCCAGGTGGAGACGTCCAATCGATCGGGTCTAGACATGCGTATATATCAACATGGTATACTACAAACACAAAGAGTTCGGTTTGTCCTTCCCATGACAACATGTGCTCACCATGTATTTATTCCTTGCAGAGAGAAGGATATCAAACCATCTTGTATTTGCCTCAATTATCGCTATCACTTGTACTTTTTATATTGTAGTAATTAGAACTCCACTTTTAAATCTGGAAGCAAGCTAAGTGACCAATATCACAAAACATCATATTGTAGAAACTTATATGCAATCATGAGGTTATTACACTCAAAAGAAACCATGTTTTATATGTTGAAGATTAACATTATAGCTTGAATAGTTCAACTCGGCAATGATCTCAGTTCTTACATATAAATTTTGTGTAAAAGTGGTATAATTGAAGCTATTCCCTATGTTAACACTAATCATACTAGTCTTTGTTTACTAGAAACTAACCATAAGAACATTTTAAACCAGAAAAATGATGATACTGAAAAGGAGTATCATAACAAAAGCAACAAAAAGTATGGCTATTTATCTTTAATAAACTCAAAAGTCAACATAGAAGATCAATCAAACGAACTGATGTTAAGAGATCACACATTACTGTCAAAGAAGCTATACATAACCCACCAGTAAGCTCTCCAAGCAAGAACACTCAACCTTTCTATATTTACCCCTCCGAAAATTGCTTTGCGTAACAATATATGTGGAGGAGATTATGCGGTTGTCGAGTCTGGTGGGAAGATTTGGAGAGACGGCGATGATTGAGCGTTTAGTAGGTCGGGACACCATTTAGACCCGTTTACATTAGTTGCGCCTTTTCAATCCGCATTCGACAAATCAACATCACTTAACATTTCTATATTTACCGTTTACCCCTCTCTTAAAGACACATGTGCCACATATTCACTCAAAACTTCAATGTTCGAAAATATTGTTGCTTTATAGTATTTATATTATTTAAGTCTATGTCAAGAATTTTGCATCGCTTCTACACATTCAATAGTGCAATTCGATGTGCAATATTTGCACCAATGATATTAGGCTTGCGATTTTAAAATTATTCTCCTTTTGTAGGATAAATAGAAATAGAATTAATTATTAAACTCAAATTAAAATAATCAAAGTATGAAATAGAAGTATCAAATACCCAAAAAATATTTAGGGGAGAGTTAGTGGCTTAGCTAACTGTGATGGAAAATTCCTATGATTTTTCAGATTTAAGCTTGCTGTATGTTTTTAATTTAAAAAGTTGAAACAATTTGTTTAGAGTAACTGGTTATGTTTCTTGTCTTTTCTCAAAGAGATCACAATTCAAATCCCATCACTTATGTATTTTTTTCTGTAAATAAGAAAATAATAAATGACGGTGAACACGGATCTACCCTTCCTACTTGCGCTATGGATGCAAGGATTTTGTAATGGGGGAAACACCTTTCCCATTTCACTATATTATATTAGGTGTAGTGAAAGTAACCCGGGTGGTTGAGTTGGACACTATTTGGGCCCAATTACATTAGTAGCGCCTTTTCCATCCGCGGTGGGCAAACCAACAATACTCAATCTTTCCATATTTATCCCTCCAAAAATTGCTATGGCGTAACAATAGAGGTAGAGAAGGTTAGCCGGTTGTTGAGTCTGATGGGAAGTTTGGAGAGACGACGATGGTTGAGCGTTTAGTGGGTCGGGACACTATTTGGGTCCGTTTACATTAGTAGTGTCTTTTCCATCCGGTTCAGCAAACCAACATCCCTTAACCTTTACATATTTACCCTTATTCACTCAAAAGTTCCGTGTTTAAAAAAATCGTTACTTTATGGTAGTTATAACAATTAAGTCTATGTTAAGAATTCTACATCGCTTCTACACATTCAAGAGTGCAATTCGTTGTGCAATATTTGAATCAATGACATTTTGGTTGATAACCGTGGTGGAAAAGTCCTATGATTTTTCAGATTTAAACTTTCTGTATGTTTTTAATTGAAAAAGATCACACAAATGTGTTTATTGTAATTGGTTATGTTTCTTATCTTTGTTTGAAAATAATAAATGACTGTGAAGACGAATATATCATTTCTATTTTCACTCTGGATGCGGGAAATTTGAAATGGTGCTTTAAATTTTCTCATTTGACCTTTATTTATTGTGTAGATTTATAGCCTATTGACATGAAAGGAAAAAAAAAGTCTATCTTCTTCATAAAAAAAATGAGGCTTCCAGTAATAGGTGCCATTAAATAAGCCCATAGTGTTTCTCCAAAAAAAAAAAAAATAAGCCCATAGTCCCATATACCCAATTCCGAGTGCCCAGCCCAATTGTGACAACTCTTGTTCTTGTTCTTGTACCATATCTATATCCATTTGTACATTCTGCCTCTCCCTGTGGTTGGCTTGCTGATCATGGAGTCCCTTTCCATGATCCTCTCATCATCGTCTCCACCTCTTCTCCAAACCCACTCTAAACCCCTTAAATCCGCCATTGTCGTGCCCACCTCAAACTCCAATCATCTCCAATTCCCCTCCCAATTCAGAAAATCATCTCTTTCCTTTACCGCAATTCACCTCTTCTCCCCTTGTCTCCCTTCCCTCGCCGCCGAAACCCCGGCCGACCAAGTCTCGGACAAAATCAACCTGGAATCCGTCCTAGTCTCCATCGACGACTTCTTCACCCGCTACCCATTCTTCGTCTCCGGTTGCTTGTTCATTTGGTTGGTTGTTATCCCTGTTGGTCAACAGTACTTGAGGAAGTACAGATATCTCTCTGCCATTGATGCGTTTCGGAAGCTCAGGGACAATTCCGAAGTGCAGCTTCTGGATATCAGGGATGAGAAGAATGTGGAGAGTTTGGGTTCGCCTAATCTGAAGATTTTGAATAAGAGCGTGGTTCAAGCTGAGTTTGTGAAGGATGAGGACGAAGATGGGTTTGTGAAGAAAGTGTTGGGGAAATTTCCGGACCCGGAAAATACAGTGGTTTGCATTCTGGACAAGTAAGGTTTTTTTTAGTTACTTGTCCTAGTTGAAGCTCTGAACTTTGGATTTGGGTTGCTTTGTTTACTATGCACAGCTAATGAAAAGAGCCTTAGTTGGTTTGTTCTCAATCAATGGTAGTTTTAGCTCAGAGACTGATTGAAGTTTGAATATGTGTGTGGTTATTGGGTGGGGGAGTGTTGATATGGGAATTCAAGTTCTGGCGAGTGGTTTCAAGTTTCAACCATCTTAAATGTAACGGGTTGGTAGAATTTCTGAGGCTGAGTCTGGATCCGTATAGCTCTGACGAGATGGTATAATTTAGGTGTCATTGTCTCCCTTGTTTCATAGAAATGTATCTTTATATGTCACTTCATTTACTGGGGTTTACTGTCTCTTGTTGCGTGCAAGGTAGTGCTGATGATAATTCATTGAGAGCAGCGGAGTTGTTGGTAAAGAATGGATTCAAAGAGGCCTATGCTATAAAGGGTGGAGTCCGTGGCAAGAAAGGATGGGTGGTATGGAATATGGATGTTTCTCTATTCCTGCAATTTCCTCGATAAACTGTGTTCTTGAACGAACGTCCTTCCTGTTTTCAGAATTTTTCTGCTCGAGAACTGGTTACAGAAGTTGTTGTATTGCCGAAGCTGCTGATTTGTCTTACCTTCATCTATCGCCATGGCTTTCACATTTGCAGGCTATTCAGAAAACAATGTTGCCGCCTTCTGTTGGTATGTTCAGCAAGAACAAGGCTAGCAGAACCTCGGTCAATGATAGCAATGGTGCTGCCGCTGCTGCTTCAGTTTCTCCAAATCAGAAAGAGGGGAATGGCCGTTTACCTGTGAAAGCTGCATCGAGTACAAGAGTAGATTCTAGGTCTCCCTATCCCAATGTAATGATAATCCATCTCTCTCATTGATTACTTCCTTTGAGGATCATGTTAATCCATTGTCGATGTTCCTAACGTGGGTTTGGTCTGGGAATTTTTGGATGCAGTATCCAGATTTGAAGCCACCGTCTTCCCCAATTCCTTCAAAACCAGGCAATTGAGGCTGCAAGTCCATTACATCTTTGGAGGCAGCAAACATTTTCTTTCTTCCCACTTTTCCTTCTCCAGTGTAGTGTAAACGAATTGCTTGGTTGTTCATTCATTTGTGAGAAAGTTGACAACTTGGTGGTTCTTTTTTGTATCATACGAGAATATGTACCCGTTTGATGAAAGCTTGAAGCAAGAGGCTTTTATAGAGAACCTGGAAAATTCATAAATTGCTACATTTTCACCATCTTCCTATTTATTTATTTGTGTTTTAAGATTCAATTTTACAAAGTAAGCGATTCGAAGTATAAAAGGAAGCATTTCGTATCTCTCGTGCGAAAGTAGTCGTCGGTTTGGTGCGAAAACACCAGTTTTGCCGGCAGAAGGCTGATTGGCAGGGTGGGTATCGCGCGCCAGAAGAGTAGATCAGTGGAAAACACGACGAGAAGAGCGATCGCGGCGGTGGGGCGTGGCGCGAAAGTATTATCCACCCACAAACCTTGAGAGTTGGACAGACGATACTTTCTGCTGGGCTTAATTGCAAGTTTGGTCACTCGAATTGCTACAAAATTTCACGTTTGCCACTCAAATTAATTTATTCCATTTATAGTCACTTAAATTAGGTTAACAGTCCAAGTTTGGTCACTGGCCGTTAGTCTCCGTTAACTTTTGCTAAGAGTTGACCGTTAAATGAGTGACGTGGCAATTAAAAAATTAATAAAATAATTTAAATAAAATATTTTAATTTTCCACCTAATTATTATAAAAATAAAAATAAATTACTATTGACTAGAAAGAAAAATTGACGATGACTAGGCTCGCCGGTTTCTGAAACAGAGCCGACGCCTCCGCCGTGCCTGGGTGGGAGAGACCAGACCAATCGCTCTTCTTCTTCCTTTTAGGAACCTCCGACAACCTAATCGTTTCCTGCAGCTGCGACAACCCAATCGATTCCCCAGACGTCGTTCTTCCTCCGCCGTTTGCCATCGATGTTCGAGCTAGAACATCGTGAAAGCAGAGTGAGGGACCCAAATTGGAATCCAAATTCAAATTCTACTTTCCGCAGGACCTCCATGTCATTCTCCGCGAGGGCATCCCCTTTGGCCCCAATTTCCCCAACTGACGATCTTCCTCCCTCCAGCACCTCCAAATACTACGCGACCTCTCTGCCCTCGACCTCTCTGCCCTCGATATGGCCCATAAAGCCTTTTGGGCTCGGCTCTCTTTCCTTCCCAGGCATCCCAATTCCCAACAAATTCAATTCTCAGGAAAGGAAGATCAAAACCCCTTTGCATCATCTCTCTCCCAAATCCTAAAACCCTAGAATTTGGATATTGATGCTCGACAAAGGGAGAAGTGAACCTCATTCATTCCCTCCTCAAATTCGACCGTGCAAGTACCCCCATCATCGTCGTTGCAGATTCGCGGCGGCCGCTCGCCCGTCGTCCTCACTTGAGAATTTTCCGACTCACAGCGCCCCTCGACTAAAGCCCTGCGAATCATCATCTCATTGAGGTACGAGTTCGACAAAAATTGGAATGCCCATTGGAGAATCGCTGAAAGCCAGGACCTTTTCTGAATTCTGATTGCCCCCCCTGCTCTTCAGTTTCGATTGAACTCTCAGCTAAGTAGTCTTGTTATATTCCCTTAAAAGTTTGTGATTAGAGATTCCCCTGTTTCGATAACTGTTGTGAAATGATCATCGGCGCCGAGCTAAATTTAGGTACACTATAGGTTTTGGTTTGAATCTGGCTGTCTGAATTCCTTGTTGGTTTGGTTGATCAGTGTCAGGATTCGTATGTGTCATTGAACCATGACGGTGTTGAAGAGATACGTGCTAAGGCTGTTCATATCGCTGAGAGGTCGAGGGCAGAGAGGTCGAGGGAAGGAAAGATAACGCTCTTGCTCTCGTCCCGGTTTATCGAAATTGCTACATCTCAGCCTTGCCCGAAGCTTTTGGGAACTCGATTTTCTTCGCGGACGAGGAGGTGGTCCAGGTCCTAAGCCTCGACATTGCCGGGTTCTTCCGCCAGCTCCAGTTGTTGGGAACGGTAGAGTGGAAAATAAAAATATTTAATTTCAATATTTAATTTAAATATTTATAATAATTAGGTGGAAAATAAAAATATTTAATTTAAATTATTTTATTAATTTTTTAATTGCCACGTCACTCATTTAACGGTCAACTATAAGAGTTGACCGCCACATCAGCAAAAGTTAACGGAGACTAACGGCCAGTGACCAAACTTGGACTGTTAACCTAATTTAAGTGACTATAAATGGAATAAATTAATTTGAGTGGCAAACGTGAAATTTTGTAGCAATTCGAGTGACCAAACTTGCAATTAAGCCCTTTCTGCTGGCTGTCGCCGGTAATTTCCAGTTTCCGGAGATTGGATCGCTCCATCTCATTCGGTGTTACCCACCAGGTGTTTGTTGTTTTGCTTGTGTGAGTTCGTATTGTTCTTCCTTCCTTCGCTACTAAATGAATGAATCGGCCTGGGATGGAACTTTGTCCGCGAGCGAGTTCTCAGCATCTGCTCAAGCTTTTGCTGAGAAATGGAAGCTCAATAACCCAGCTTACCCTCCATGGACATGGGTCAAATCCCTCGAAGTTCCCATCTTTGCTACTAATCAAGTAAGTCTCCTCTCCTCCATCCTAAGAACCGTCCTTTTCCCTGTCAACCAGGCCTATGGATCATTTATGGTTTCTCATTGCAGGTCGAGGAAGGCTACCTCTCGTTGGAGAACGTTTGCATCGTGAAGTCGAATGATGATGAAGTTGCGTCTTGTGTGGAAGGCGAAGCAAGCTTATATGATAAAGAGGATGAGGAATCAACCGACAGTGCTACACTGGTAAGTTTCCATCTTCAGATGCTGCTGCCAATACCAACGAGTTAAAACTGATTCTGTTCATTCACTTTCTGTGGTTACAAGGTTCAAACGAGCAGTGGTAATGATAATGTTCAACCCTACTATTTTGATTTCCACATAATCTACAGTGCATCATTCAGGGTTCCAGTGCTATATTTCCGGGCATATTGCAGCGGTAATGCTCAGCTCTTTGTAATCCTAATACGGCATAACCAGATGAAGCATATCCTTCTGCACTCTTGAGTAACCAAGTTTTTCTTGCAGATGGAAGAAGCTTGGGGTTGAACGAAATTGAGTCGGTACTTCCAGCCAACTCTGCCAAGGTCTTGCTGGAATCAAAGTGGACTTTCATAACTCAAGAGGTACCTTATACCTTCAACCCTTTTCGTTTGCTTCTGTGGAGAATCAGATGGTTTGGATTGTGACGATTAGTTTCTTCAAATGTAGGAGCATCCGTACCTGAATAGACCCTGGTGCAAATTACATCCTTGCGGGAGCAGTGATTGGATGAAATTGCTATTCCAGGCTGTCGAGAAAGTGGACAGGCCAGCAATGGAGCTATATCTCGTCTCATGGTTTTCAGTTGTCGGTCCTGTAATTGGCCTCGGCATCCCGATTCAGATGCTTAAGGAGCCATAGTCCCAACAAACAGATGTAATTTGGACCAGAATGTTAGCGTTTGTTCATTCGCAATTAAACTTAGAAGTACTTTACTGGTGTAATGCTACATATGAAAATTGAGTAGAAGAGAGGGCTGCCTATAAGAGTTCTTCTCCGGTTCCAACTGCTGGATTGCTTCTTTCGTTCACTCGACTGAAGTAGACCAGAAACTCTATGTTTCCCTCTGCACCCTTGATAGGAGACTCGATCCATCCATTTTTCCTGAAGCCAAAACTCTCCACGCCATTTATAATCTTCTCAAGAACCTATATGCAAACAATGAAGCCAATGTCATATCAAGTAGTGTCGCAATACATTCGGCGAAACCAGGTTTCTGCATTCTCATGAACTGGGAAGAAGAATTGCAGCATACCTCTTGATGGACTTTTGGGTCTCTTACAATCCCTCCGCCTCCCACCTACCAAGATACATAATTTCTCATATAATTTGTCAGTTGGAACTAATGATACACAACTTCTGTTTGGTAATATCATATCATCTACAACACAAGACTGACATCCAAATCGAAAAGAAATTGGAAGTAGTGTTTGCCAACCTGCGACCTATGAGCTTCAAATTGAGGCTTAACTAGGGTCACCAAACTTGCCTCTTCTTTCATGACACCGACTACAGCAGGCATAACCTGCAGGAAATGAAGTATGAGAATAATTATTATGGTACTAAGAGAAGTGAAAATGAACCAAAGCAGAGTTAAAATTACACCAAGCATCAACAAGCTCACCAGGAGAATAGAGATGAATGAGAGATCCAGAGTCGCAATATCCACTTTCTGGGGAAGCCCTGGTAGATGTCTTAGGTTGGTTCTTTCTATCACACTAACACGTTCGTCTCGCCTAATTTTATCTGCCACCTGAAGTAATGCTTCATTCACAATCAAAATTTGTAGTTTCTGGACCATATTTCATTTCACTACAGCCTAGGAATGAGAATTCAGTATTAGTTACCTGACCATAACCCACATCGACACCATAGACGAACGAGGCTCCATGTTGAAGCAAGCAATCCGTGAATCCCCCAGTGGACAATCCAGAATCAAGAGCTACTTTGCCAGTAACATCGACCCCGAGTTGTTCCAGGGCTGCTTCCAGTTTATATCCTGCTCTGTGTTGCATATAGATCAAAGTCGATACACCTCTCTGTGTAAAATGTAAGGACAAAGATTGGTTTCGTTTTGGAAAAAAGAGTAATCACCTACATACATATTTGGGAATCTCAGCAGTGATTTCCACAACAGATTTGTCAGAGACAGGAGTGCCAGCTTTATTCACTTTCTTGCCATTGACAAACACTTTCCCTGTAACCGAAAAGAAACACAACCTGATTGACCTATTCGTTGCTTAGAACTTCTTCACAAGGCAACTGACAAAGTGACAAACTAACCCTGCAAAATCCAAGATTGTATCATCGTTCTGCTGTACTGCTGGAACCTATCTAGGCATACTTCATCCAGCCTTCTCTTCCTGCAAATTCAGGAGCCTGATTTTAACTACTACAGTAGGCAGAACTGAGACGCTTAGATAGAGAGCGAGGGAGCTCAAGATGCTTACTTTCTGGGTATTTGAATCTTTTCGGGTTTCGTAGCGAAGCACCGAACGCAGAAACGGTGCTCTGATCTCTCCCGTCGAACTGCAGCGTTGGAAATCGAAAGCATTAGCAACTACTGCCAAGTGTTTGTACAAATTACCCAGATAAACCCACCAGAACTGAAGGGGAAAAAAAAACAGGAGGCCACCACTTCAGACCTTGATAAGAAACACGGTTACCACCTACCAGGGATGTAAGGGAAGCAGGAATTAGACAAAAGGAAGGAGCTTGAAGACCAAGCATTTCTGTAACTAAAGCGCGAGACTACGGAAAGCTTCAGCAGCTGAAGAGCCATACTTCTTCTTCGTCTTTTTCAGTATCAATAAATCTGATGACGACGGCTACCACTCGCTAAGGTGGAAAAAGGCCAAGACCTGCTTTGGTTACGAAGTTCTCTCCGGTCGTTCCTCTGTTCGCCCTATCGCCGCCGCAAAAGGGAATCAAATTGAGCTTTCGAATTCGAGTTATCTACCGTCCAGACATGGCAGTCAATCGGGTCAATTACCAAAACCATCATTGAACTTTGGGGTTACTAACAAATTGCCTAAATTATACGTTTGCCATCCAAATTACTTTTCTTTTTTATTCGGGTTAATACGTTATTTTGGCCCGAACTATGACCATATAATCAACTTTGACACGTGGTTTTAAAAATTAACATTCTGGCCTCACCTATACAGCATATAGATTAAATTAGCCCGACACATGCTTTGACCGTCAATTTGGACGGTCAACACCATTGACCGTTAGTCAACACGCCATGTCATTGCCTAGTCAGCCTAAATATCATTAAAAAATTGAAATTCAAATTATTTTTCTAATTATTATTATTTATCATTTTGAAATTAATCCAAAATTAAAATTCAAAAAATATATAATAAATTTTATGTTTTATCTTTTGGGTCATTTGAAAATGATAATTTTATAAATTAAAACAAATTATCAAATTAAATTTTATAAATGTAGGAAATATAAAAAACATAAACCAAAAAATAAATTTTCTAATTCAAATTATTTTCTAATTTTTATTATTTATCATTATCAAATTAAACAAAAAAATAAAATTATAAAAACCTAAAATAATTTTATATTTTCTTTTTTTCAATGCTGTCAAAGCCGAGCCGAAGTATGACCCGGTAACGTGAACGGCTCGGTCATTAGTGGTCCAGCCGGCATTAGACCGTTTAAAAACCGTTTGAGAACCGGCAGTCCATTTCGTAAGCAAACTAACTGCCCCTATCGGCAAATCTCAAAATCTACGCTAATCACGTCAAGATCAGACAAACGACTACTAGATCCACCCCTAATCAAATACCCAGTAAACCAGTCGCTAACATAGAAATCCCCAGAACCAACGGAAAGAGTGAAGAAGAAGAAGGGTGATGAATTACCCCGCTGTAGGATGACGCGCTGCTTGCGGCGACGGGACGAAAGCGCTGGGGCGATGGTTGACGACGGCAGGGTGGCGCCGCTCTCCCTCTGTCGTCTGTTCTACTTCTAGGTCGAAGATGAAGAAATAAAATGAAAGTTAGGGTTTTGTTTGGCTGCCCCATTCCACGATTGGCCTTTTTTTTTAGGGTAAACCAAACGGCCGAACCGCGCGACCGGCTTGAGCGGCTCGAGCGGTTAACCGCTTCGGCCGCTCGCCGGCCGCTGTATAAAACCGTGGCGGTTAAATAGCTGATCCGAGCCGGTTTTATGGCCAGGTGGCGGCTTTGGCGGTCCGGCCGGCCGGCTCGGTTCGGCTTTGACAGCACTGCTTTTTTTGGTAATTTTAAAATGAATAATTTTATAAATTATCAAAAGATTATAGATTTTTTAAATTACTCAAAAATAAAATGTAAAATATATATTATTTTTTTAAATTTACCATTTTCAAATGTCCCAAAAGATAAAACATACAATTTTTTATATTTTTTAAATTTTAATTTTTGGTTAATTTCAAAATGATAAATAATAATAATTAGAAAAATAATTTGAATTTCAATCTTTTAATGATTTTTAGGCTGACTAGGCAATGACATGACGTGTTGACTAACGATCAATGGTGTTGACCGTCCAAATTGACGGTCAAAGCATGTGCCGGGCCAATTTAGTCTATATGCTGCACAGTTGAGGTCAGGATGTTATTTTCTAAAACCACGTGCCAAAGTTGATTATATGATCATAGTTCGGGCCAAAATAAGGTATTAACCCAACCCTTCTTATTCACCACTAACTTTACAAATCGTTTCACCATTACTCACCGGCCGTTAGACTCTGTTAAATTTGTCATACGTGGCAGTCAACTATAAAGTTCGACCGTTAACTAGATGATGTGGAAATTAAAGAAAAGAAAAGAAATTTATTTTTTTCACCTCATCATTTCACGGGTTCTTTTATTTTTTTAATTTCAATGTCATCTAGTTAACGGTCAAATTTTATAGTTGACTGCCACGTAGGTCAAATTTAACAGAGTCTAAAGGCCGGTAATTAACATTGACACGATTCGTAAAGTTAATGGCGAATAAGAAAGAAAAGTAATTCGGTGGCAAATGTGAAAGATTTGTATAATTTATTTTATGGTTAATAAAAAATGCATTAAGCGCCAGGACCCTTGTAACTAAGGGCCCTCTCAGAAATACAATGCATACTGATTACAAACCATCAAACTGATATAGGACTGCAAAAGATAGGTCTATATACTGAAAACTAAGCAAAACATTCTGCATATCTATCCGACTATTAATAAAAAAACTAGCTTCCGATCGAATTCGGATCACTAACTGAGGAGGATGTTGCAGGCCACTTCCATAGCATCTTCGACATCTCTCCTTCCACACATAACCCATTACCATACTCCAAATCAGCTTACCCAGTTTTTGTTTAATAGTTGAACCAGCCCAGAACACAGAGTCATGCCATGTAGAGAAAACAGGAAGAGGAAGGAAGTCAACTAGGCTATGCTGCAGAACATAGGTAGTATATGAGCAAGATGTGAACAAAATGTCACGAGATTCAACACCTCCTGGACAGAGTACACATGCTGTCTCATCTGTCTTTCCATGTTGCAAGCTTATCACGAGTGTAGATTCTATCGAGCATAATGAGCCATAAGATCAAGCTATGTTTAGGGATTGAAAACTTACCCCAAATCAACTTAGACCGTGGAACTGCATGTTTGGAAACTCGGATAGAGAGCCAAACCTTTTTCATTGAGAATCTAGGCATAGGTTGTCCTGACCATCGTAGAGACGCATCAGCACCCGTAATGAATTGATGAGCCTCCTCCCTGGCCTTCAGTACACGTTTCCAGACCCACGAACCAACAGAGGTTGGGAAAACCTCCCAAATGGACTTGGCCCTGAGTCTAGACTTTCTGATCCAGGCTACCCAGAGAGAGCCAATACAAGCAAGAGTATCCCATATGTGCCTGATAACGCAGGCTCGGTTCCAAAATCTGTAGTCTTTCACTCCAAGACCACCCTTTGCCTTTAGTGCAACAACATACTCCCATGCTACCAAGGCCTTAGCTCGAGTACCATTATCCCCCACACCCCATAAAAACCTATTGCAGATAGCCTCAATATCATGCAACACACTCTGAGGAAGAAGGAAAACACTCATCCAATACTAGAGGACACTAGAGATAACAGAAGAGACCAGTTGAATACGCCCAGCATAGCTTAGACATTCGAGTTCTAGATAGAGAATAAAAATCCTCCAGCAAACACTTGATCCCCTCAACCGCCTCAAGGGAGCCATTAGAAAAGACTAGTAGGTCATCCGCAAAGATTAAATGAGAAATATCCAGATATTTGCAACGGGGATAGTATGATATAGTCCCCAATGTGTTTTCCTTAGACAATAAGCAGGAGAAAACCTCCATAGATATGACAAAAAGGTATGGTGAAAGAGGATCACCTTGTCTAATACCCTTCTCCCCTGGGAAATAACCACACAGGCCCCCATTCAAACATACACTGAACATTGGAGATGATACACACACTCTAACCCTTTGAATAAACCAATCTGGAATACCCATAGTAGTCATAACAGTAAATAGGAAAGCCCAACTAACCGAATCAAAAGCCTTCATCAAATCAATCTTGACACCACACCTAGGAGCAATAGATGTTTTGGTATAATCTTTGACTAACTCAAAGCCATTAGGATGTTATTACAGATTAATCTTCCTTTGACAAAAACAGACTGTGACTGGCTAATAAGGAGTGGAAGAAACTTGGATAACCTATTTGCTAGCACCTTTGTAATACCCTTATACAAACATTACAACAGGATATTGGACGAAAGTCCTTCATACATTCTACATTTGCTAGCTTAGGTATCAGAGTAAGAATTGTAGATTTAATTTTCCTAGGTAAAATACCTATCTCAAAGAAATGAAGGATTGCATCCTCTACATCCTTACCCACCACAGACCAGTCTGCCTTGTAAAAATCAGCAGGGTATCCATCAGGGTCTGGGGCTTTGTCTGATGCCATCGACATAAAGACAGACCTAATTTCCTCGCGAGTAACCTCACCTTGTAACTCCTTAGCCACTTATGAAAATAACTTGTGTCTTAGTAGTTCGTCATAAAAACCCACAAGATGCTCCTGAATTTCTAGGTTGACCTTGCCAAGCAAGTTCTTATAGAAGTCAACAACAACGTGCCTCATGTGCTCTACATCAGTAACCACTGAACCATCTTCCGCCACCAGATGATCTATAGTCTGTCTTTTATTTCTTATTCTGACATAGTTGTGGAAAAAACCCGTATTAGAGTCACCTCCCAAGACCCAGGACATTCTAGACTTCTGCCAGAAATAACTTTCTTCAGCTGCCTGTGTTGCAAAACAATCCTGGGCCAAGATTGCTTCCCTCTCAACATTTGCTTCATTAGGAACTTTAAGAACTTCGCCCTGGGCAGCAGCCAGATGAGATTTAGCTTCCCTTGCTCGAGCAGAGATTTCAGAATAGACCATTCGATTGAGAACTCTAAGTTTCTTCTTCAATCTCAATTCTCAAGAGTTTCAGAAAAAGTCGATCAAAGGGATCACTCACTTCCATGTTAGAATCCTCCCAAGCTAATTTCAAAAGATCAAAGTATGTAGGATGTGTTCTCCAGAACTTAAAAAACTTGAAAGGTTTTGAGAGACTCTTCAAACCACTTGATGTAAAGAGAAACAGTCCACAATGATCAGATACACCAAGGCTCAATGTTCTAGCATCACTGTGGCAAATCGATAAATCCTTATAAAGCTGAGCTCTCTGCAGAGTTTTATTAGGACTATAAATAGCAGTAATTACTAACACTTCATTCTTTGTTGTAACCTTCACATGAAGGAAGTGCTCCCCAGAGTCCAATTCTGTGACTTGCAGGCCATTCCTCCATAGCAACAAACCCGACCAAAAGCTGACCTTGAGTAATTGTCAATAACCTCCCAATCTTTAAACTTCCCTTTAACAATAGGATCATAGTTCTCTTTTAATACTCTAGTCTC